ATGGTGATGAGAGTGACACGCAAACTCCAAATATACAGCAGCAGGCGTCAGGGTCGGGATCAAACCCAGGACCTCCTGCAGACCAGGCGAGGGAGTTAACATCTCCTAGCCACCGTGATGGTGATGAGAGTGACACGCAAACTCCAAATATACAGCAGCAGGCGTCAGGGTCGGGATCAAACCCAGGACCTCCTGCATACCAGGCGAGGTAGTTAACATCTCCTGGGCACCGCGCCAATTCCTCGGTCACGATGACACAGCGCGATTTGAGCTTTTTAACAGCGGCGCCATTCCTTCTCAGGCGTGGGCTGCTTGGTCCTCGACATAGTAACGTGGAGTGCCCACCACCGGCTCCCCCGGCACCTACGAAAAGTATCGATGACCGATGGCCATTAAGAGCACGCGGGTCTCTGACCTTTTGCCGGTATTTTGTCAAAAGTTGACTCTCTCGCCGCCGCCGCCACGAGGCACGGGGGGGTGGTGGTGGTGGGGAGCCGCTCGGCACGTGGAGAATCAGCGCGGACGCCACCGACACAACAACCACCAACACAACAGCCACCGACACAACAGCCACCGACACAACAGCCACCGACACAACAGCCACCGACACAACAGCCACCGACACAACAGCCACCGACACAACAGCCACCGACACAACAGCCACCGACACAACAGCCACCGACACAACAGCCACCGACACAACAGCCACCGACACAACAGCCACCGACACAACAGCCACCGACACAACAGCCACCGACACAACAACCACCGACACAACAGCCACCGACACAACAGCCACCGACACAACAGCCACCGACACAACAGCCACCGACACAACAGCCACCGACACAACAGCCACCGACACAACAGCCACCGACACAACAACCACCGACACAACAGCCACCGACACAACAACCACCGACACAACAACCACCGACACAACAGCCACCGACACAACAGCCACCGACACAACAGCCACCGACACAACAGCCACCGACACAACAGCCACCGACACAACAGCCACCGACACAACAACCACCGACACAACAACCACCGACACAACAACCACCGACACAACAACCACCGACACAACCACCGACACAACAACCACCGACACAACAACCACCGACACAACAACCACCGACACAACAGCCACCGACACAACAGCCACCGACACAACAACCACCGACACAACAACCACCGACACAACAACCACCGACACAACAACCACCGACACAACAACCACCGACACAACAACCACCGACACAACAACCACCAACACAACAACCATCGCCGCCGCTGCTGCTGCGTCTCTCCGGTGGCATCAACTTCTACCAGCGCGCACTCCACTGCTGGATGACGAAGCCTCCTCCCTCCCCCCTCCCCCACCAGGACATCGTTCGCCGTCTCGACGTGCGAGAACGACAACAACAATAACACATCTCGCACGTGCACGGGCGAGTTTGGAGCGCTCCATCTCCACGGTGAATGTTCCTCTCGGGGGGGGGGGGTCAGGGGTCATTTGGCTCCTTCCATGCAAGTCGTCACGTGTCTCCCGAGTGGAGGCCGCCGTGGCACGAAGGGGCAGCCACACTGGGGGAGACGGAGGAAAGTGCCCCCCCCCGTCAAGACGGAGACACGAGACACGCGAGACACGAGACGGACAGGATTAACCGCACAGCCTTGAGGACCACCCTCACGGCTCCTCGTCCTCGTCGTCCTCCTGAAGGCGGCTTCTGCTGCTGTGCGTCACGACGCTGCACATGTGCGCAGGGTGGCGAGGCTGCGAGTTTAGCTCCGTCTCAGCAAGCCGCCTGGCGATCAAACGACAGCTCGACTCAGTGGGCTTATCATCACGCGGCAATGTATAACACTGCGGGAGGCACGGCCTCGAAACGCCTATTTTTATTCTAAGTATACGAGGGAAACACGAGAGAGAGGTTGCCAACGCAGCATCACACGGACTGATTAATTCTTAGGACGATTGACTGCAACGCCTTCTCAAGATAACACAAAATGTCATCACGGCGATCTTGTGAACATGACCTCCACAGCTCCTAAGAAACATCGCGTGGCCTTTCTGCATCTCCTGTTCCCTGTCCCGATCTTTATTACGCACAAGGTTCATTGCCCGAAACGTCGCCCCCTATCCACCTCGGCTTTACTTATTGGGCCCGCAGTGTTGTCGAGTTTGCGCTGCATCCCAGCGGTGGGTTGTCGTCACCGTGTGCCAGGCTAGGTGCACCCTCGAGTACAGCGCTTGCGTCCACCAAAAGCGAAGTGTGTTGTTGCGTAAACGTCGAGGGAGAGAGAGAGATACGGACCACGGCTGGGAGCCGCGTAGGCGGCGAATCTCCAAGCAGCGAGTCCACTCATCGTCTTGCTGCGAGCACGGGGTCTGCACGGCGTCTCACGCGTGCCACTGCTCGTCAGGTGACGCGGGTGGCGCTGCTGGAGACGTGGGGGGGCGGCGCTGCTGCTGATGATGATGATGCCCTCGACGCCTGCACTGGGCCCCGAAACACCCCCCACGTGGTTTTGGGTTTTCTTGTGGCTGGCCCCGTGACGTCACTTCCCACGCCCCCCCCACCCGCCCCCACCTCTGTCCCCACGCCCCCCCCACCCCGCCCCCACGCCTCCCCCACCCCGTGTTGTGGCCTTTAAATATAAAAAAAATATATAAATACATGGCGTCTATAAAGTCCCTATATACACTGAGACATCTCCTCTACCAGTGGCAAAATAGGTTTTTACCCTTTCAACTGGTACAAAAACTGACACCTTTATACAAGGCATCATGTTTGCAATAACCACAACACAAGCAGTCAAATTGCAAACACATTATACCATTAGTTCAATAAAATATTTCGGGACTTTATGACGACGTTTCGGGCGATGACCCTTCTCTATGGTGAATTATACAATAACGCAGTGGGTGTGAAATTAAAAATAAATATATAAAACGGTTCGGGCGATGACCCGTCTCTGCCGTGCATTCGACAACCACGCAGTGGGCCTTAAAGAGAAAAGTAACGCGCGACGTTTCGGGCATTGGCACCTTCTGCAGGACACCCACGTGGTCTATTTGCCTTAAGCGGCTCTTACACGCGAGCCGCCGATTGGTCCCCGCGCGTCACGTGGGCGAGGCGCGAGCCGGCGGGCCGATTGTAATGACGAGGCAGTCGCGTGGCGCGCGGATCGATTCTCTTGGACGAAGCGATTCCACGCGCGGCCACTTCTGCAGCGTCGATTCCCCCAACACTCATTCCGTCGCGTTTTTGTTGCTTAAAACCCTGGAGGGGTTAACGTCAGACTGTTGCAATGTCTGACGTGAGGGACGATGAGGACATTTTTTTATATTTACGTAAAAAAAAACCGCTAGAGGGTTGGAATTGGATGGATTCGATTCTTCCACCTGATTGAGTCGTGGGGGAATCGGATCGACTTGGGGGGTGGACAGTCAACGAAGGAGCGAAAGGTAAGAAGCGACGTGGGGAGAGATCGGGGGAAGAGAGCGAAGAGGAGAGAGTGGAGAGAGAGGGGGGAGAGAGGGGAGAGAGAGGGGAGAGAAGAGAGAGAGAAGAGGAGAGAGGGGAGAGAAGATAGAGAAGAGGAGAGAGGGGAGAGAGAGAGGACAGAGAGGGGAGTGAGAGGGGAGAGAGGGGAGAGGGGAGATCCGTGATAATTTATCTGTTAAATCGGCTAAGAATTCATCGATAACTTCGGTGACTTGACACGAATATAACAACACAGAGAGACCTGCCGTGAGGAGGAGGAGTGAGGTCAGTCAGTGGTGGTGGTGGTGACGTTAGACGAGCTGAGGGTGGAGGAGTGGTGGTGGTGGTAGTGGTGGTGTTAGATTCGCGCCGTCGGCCACGTACGGCGCGAAAGAAGTTCAAGAGACATCGGTCCGAGGGTGAGGAGAGGAGTCGAGAGTCGATCCCAGCAGGCGAGAGAGGCTCGAGAGAGAGAGGGGAGAGAGGGGAGAGGGATCGCGATGGCCGCGGGTCGCCTGGTGGAGCTGGAGTCGCGCGTGCGGGAGCTGGAGGCGACGTTGGCCGCGGAGCGCGCAGCGGCACGCGGCGGCGAGAGTCGTCCCCGCATCGCGACCATGAGCGCGGAGGTGGTGGACAGCAACCCCTACAGGCGGGAGACTCCACCACCACTCCACCATCTCCACCACCACTCACCTCCACCACTCACCACTCGCCTCCATCACGCACCACCACCACTCACCTCCACCATCTCCACCACCACACACACAGCAACCCCTACAGGCGGGAGACTCCACCACCACCAATCACCTCCACCACCACTCACCTCCACCACCACTCACCACTCACCTCCACCACTCACCGCCACCACCACTCACCTCCACCACCACTCACCACTCACCTCCACCACCACTCACCTCCACCACTCACCACCACCACTCACCACCACCACTCACCTCCACCACTCACCTAACCCACCACCTCCACCACTCACCTCCACCACCACCACCTCCACCACCACCACACACACAGCAACCCCTACAGGCGTGAGACTCCGCCAGCAGCACACCAATACCCGCTATTCGCCACGAAGTGACGGTGACGTAACCACGGCACCTGTGCCAGGCCAGGTGCACTTTGAGGCCACGCGAAGTGTTGAAGGCTCGCTGACAAGAGGAGGTCTCGGGACAGACCCAGCAGGTGCCTTGGGTTGGGTGACTGAGATGACCGGTAGATGCGCCACCAGCTGTACCCCCTACTGTGCCAACTTGCTGCGTTTTAGCCGCACGGCTCGTTGTTGTGAGCGTCGCTCCTCTGCCTTCCGCTGTTGCTGGAGGACGACTGCCTCCAACTGCCCAGCAGCAGCAGCAGCAGCGTCCTTCACGAGCCTCCTCCATAGAGGCTGATCTGACACCGCTGGTACCAATCGGTCATCGGCAAGTCCACTCAGCTCCACATCCTCCCATACCACATCACTCCGTCTCTTCTCCAGCCCATGTCGTGCCCGTTTAGCCCCCTCTATGCGGCCAACAGACGCTGCTTGGGCATGCGGTGGCTGGGCATGTGGGCTTCATGACCCAACCTTCCCTGCCGGAGGAGCTCACCGATGGGACTTTGTCCAGATCTTTCAACGATTTGTGAGCTCCTCACACAATCCAGCCTGGTTAAACCCAGGATGCATCGTAGGCATGCCAGCCTGAATGTTTCTGATGGTAAGACCACCTCTTAGTGGCACACTCCAGGTTCAGCAGCAGCGCCTCCAACTCCTCCTCTGAGTGAGCAGCAATCATCAGCATACATAACATGGTTGACGAATAGGGAGCTATCCATCGACCGCACCCGGGCATCGATCAGCCTCCCGTTGTATCTGTACCAGATGGAAATTCCTCTGGTACAGCCATGGAAAGCTTCTCGAACTACGTGGTCAAAGATAATGTTAAATAATGTGGGAACCAGAGGACATCTCTGTTGCACCCCAAGGTGAACAGGGAATGGCTCCGACTCCTGGCCACATAGCTTTACCCGGGCCCGCTCACCATCATGAAGGTCCTTAATGATCGTGAGCAGAGGGTCAGGGACTCCGAAAGCACGAAGAACAACCCAGAGCCAAGGCCTACTGATGGTATCATAGGCCTTGACCAGGTCAATAAAGCAGAGATGTAGGTCTTGTTGGAATTCCCTACACCTCTGCCTTAGCAGACGGACAGAAAATATTAAACCACATTGGGGCTCCGCAAGTCTCTCCTCAGCGTGCCTGGCAAGGCGATGTTGAATAATCCTTTCCAGGACCTTTCCTGAGACACTGAGAAGAGAGATGCCCCTATAGTTGTTACACTCTGCGGAGCCCATCCTGTGGTCCACACAGTTGTGATGATGTCATGTAGGGCAGTCTGCACACAGATGCCACCCTCCCTCAGCATTACGCTTGGGAGATCGTCTCTGCCCGGCGCTTTTCCTGGTCTCAGACTTCGGATCGCCCGTCACACTTCCTGCACAGATGGCACCTCAGCCAACCATTCAGAAGGGGTGGCTACTTCTGCCAATATTTGAGGCACGGCAGCCCGAGCAGGGTCGTGCCTATCTTGCCCCATGATGTTGCCTGGGCAGAGGGAATTCCCCTCCTCCAAGACCTCCCAAAAATGTTCTGAAAACCTGCAGCCCTGTTCCTGGGAGTCGGAGATCGGATTATCGTTCTTTCCCTTAAGGATGGTGATAGGTGAGGCGCTGCAAATTACTTTTTGATGGAATTAAACAGTGATTTGTGCGGGCTACTGAGGCAGATTCCATCTCCTCAACAATCCGCGCCCACCACTCATTCTTGCAGCGCCACACAGATCTCCGAATCTCCAAGCGAAGGCTGCGGTAAGCCTTCTCCTATAGGCAAGATTTCACCAGCAGTACACAAAGACACAGATCTCTCATATAGCCTTAACAGACTGTTGTTAGCGAGCACCTATGAAGGCCGGCATGGCACACGAGGGGGTGGGTGGCCAGCACCACGCCCGGCGCCTTTGTCTCCCTAGTGGCGATGTTACTACACACTGCATTAGGTACTCATTTGAGGTTGAGTCGACCTAGGCGAGGCACAGTACCGGTTCAGATAATTGTCACTGGTGTCAGTCGTGAGCGGCAATCGAACTCGGGGTGCCGGGTTCATAGCGCAGCGCGCTAACCGCTACACTACCACTCCCCAGCAGCACACGCACAGCAACCCCTACAGGTGAGAGGCTCCACCACCACACACCACCACACACCACCACACACCACCACACACCACCACACACCACCACACACAGCACCACACACCACCACACACAGCACCACACACCACCACACACCACCACACACCACCACACACAGCACCACACACCACCATACACCACCACACACAGCGCCACACACAGCGCCATACACAGCACCACACACCACCACACAACACCACCACACACACCACCACACACCACCACACACCACCACACACACCACCACACACCACCACACACCACCACACAACGACGCGTATTACCGCCCTCCTTGACACGTCTCCCCGTGTGTTGTTCTGCGCAGTCGGCTGATGGCGCTCAAGAGGATGGGGGTGGTGGACAACTACGAGGTGGGTGAGACAACCCAGCTGGCCTCATTCCCTCTGCACCATTCGGAGCACTGTTCAACATGAACTATATTCTTTATTTTACCAGGCAAGGCCCACTGAGCCAGCTCTTGTTCAGAAGCGACCTGGCCACAATTGAGAGCTCAGCAAAGTGGCTTATCATCGTCATCGCGTGGAAATTTATAGCAGCCAAATACTCTAAACGCTTGATGTTGATTCTGAATGTGGAGGGAAAAACTGGAGGACCCGGAGAAAAATCCACACGGCCACGGGGAGAGAAACATGCAAACTCCATATATACAGGCATCGTGGTTGGGATCGAACACACGACCTCTTGCATACCAGGCGAGGTAGTTAACATCTCGCCACCGCAGAGCCCAACATACATACGTACACTGGGTCTTGAGTCAAGCCTGGCGGTTATCACGTGTTTCAGCCAGACATTAGTTGTGAGTGAAGTGGGCGGCACTTAGTCGTAGTATCACAGTGACTACTGGTTATTACACCCGTCGTAATAACCAGGGCAGCCGCTGGTTTCGAACCACGAACCTCTGGAGCAAGCGGCGAACGCGCTACCAGCTTGGGCCGCGTCAAAACCCAATTGACACCCTGGACGTATTGTCATAAATGTCCATCGACACCCTGGACACCCCACGTGTCCATCTACACCCTTTCTGGAGGGACTATCCAGCTGAAATATTTAAATTAATAAAATGTTTATCAAGGGATTTATTGCTGCTGAACATTGATGTTGATGAAGACAGTGACGATGTGACTTTGACTCTGTTTCTTTGTGAACCCCCCTACCGCCCTGCCTCCCATCGCCCCCCCCCCCTCACTCTCCCGGCTCATTGCCCACGGTGGCAGCACATCCGCGACGTGGCTGTGGCGGTCGTGGGTGTGGGCGGCGTCGGCAGCGTCACGGCTGAGATGCTGACTCGCTGCGGCGTGGGGAAGGTGAGGGCCGCCGCTGCCACCGCCGCCGCCGTTGACGCTCGCACACCGCGTCTGCTCCAGAGGGAGCGGGTCGGTCCACGTGGAGTCCACGAGTGCGATCCCGATCCTGGATTGGAACGTGCCGAAGGATCATCTGCAGCTCCATATGATCAGGGATAGGGAGTCACAGACCTTTGCAGGCAGCTGCAGAGAAGGAGCGACCGACCTCCCATTGAATGGAGGTTATTTTTTTTATACTTTAACTACCGGGGCAATATTTTGGCGATGGTGCTGCAGCACCCGGTGCTGCGTCGGCAGCGTTGCACAAGCACAATGAACAACACGAGCTCAACGTGTTCCCTCAATAATGCTGCACTTAAAAGGACAACCAAACAATAGGCGACGTTTTGGGTAAAGCTCCTCCGTCAGCACGTAAAAATGTCACGAACGTGTTGAGCCTTTTTTTATTTCCAAAGTGAGACTACACAGTGATCATCGCCCCCTACTGGCAGACTCATGCCTGCTTGCAGGCCATGTGCCCAGCCACCGTGTGCCTCACAGGGGACAGCTGCTGCTGGGGGTGCCTTTTCAAATGGTTGAGAGACGAGGTGTTGTGACGCATGTGACGCGCCCTGATACGCACCCTGAAGACGACGATTATCTCTCCGACGCACGCACGCAAGTCGCACCGCGCGTCGCACTTGGCTCGCGCGTCGCCACCGCCTTGACCTGCGCCCGCGTGCGTGCGCTCTAGCTGCTGCTGTTCGACTACGACAAAGTGGAGCTGGCCAACATGAACCGGCTCTTCTTCCAGCCGCAGCAGGCGGGCATGAGCAAAGTGGAGGCGGCGGAGCACACCCTGCGGTACGCACGGCGGCGCGGCGGGGGAACGCGGAAACGTGCGCAGGGCAGCGCCGCGCAACGCGACGAGGATGCACCTTCCCTTACCCCACCCTCCCCTCCCCTCACTGCCGTTCCATCTCCCGTCCCGCTGCAGGAACATCAACCCGGACGTGCAGTTTGAAACGCACAACTACAACATCACCACCATGGGCAACTTCCAGCACTTCATGGAGCGAGTGAGGTCAGATCGACGTTCCTCCGGCCTCTTCCCACTTTCTCGCGACACCTCCGTACGACGACACCGTTGCGATCAAAAGTTCCAACCGGCCGATGGATCTGTAGAGGCCTGAGTGATGTGTGTGTTTGTGTGTGAATGTGTGTGCATGTGTGCGTGCGTGTGTGTTTGTGTGCGTGTGTTTGTGTGCATGTGTGTGTGTGCAGCAGATATGGTTAACGATGGAGAGCAGCAGTGTAGCAGTCAGCACGCAGCGATACGAACCCGGCGACCCGAGTTCGATTCCTTCTCGCGACCAATAACAGTGACGATTATTTGAACCGTCCTGGGCCTACCCTAGGTCGACTGAGCCACAAATGAGTACCTTAGCAGCACTGAGAAGGCAAAGGTGGCCGGGCGTAGTTCTGGTCACACCTCCCTCGTGCGTCGTGCCTTCATAGGTGCCGGTTAACAGCACTTGCCCCAACAATCTCATCAAGGCTATGCGGGGAATCTTTGTCTTTGTACAGTCACGGGGGCCTGCAGGAGGGCCGGCCTGTCGAGTTGGTCCTCTGCTGCGTCGACAACTTTGAAGCGCGCATGGCCATCAACACGGTGGGTGGTCCATGTGGCCACGCGGACACGCCACAGCAACACACGCCGTGCCCCGTCGGGACACGTCACTCCAGAGCTCGTCACGGTCGGCTCTGGTAGCGCCCATCGAATGTACTCACCCCTCCAGCTCCACGGACCGTTCGCTCCCGCCATTGTGACAAATGCGCGCGGGGCCAGCAGAGTCGTTCAAAATCGAACAGTGCTCTGGAGCGCACTGCTCCTTTGAACGGACCCTTGCTGTGAATTATATTTATCACGTGAATTATCAAGCTGACGATAATCCCAGGCGTGTAATGAGGTGGGCCGGTTGTGGCTGATGCGGATGATGTTGATGCTGATGTTGATAATGATGATGTCCCTAGGCATGTAACGAGCTGAACCAGGTGTGGATTGAGTCGGGGGTGAGTGAGAACGCCGTGTCCGGCCACATCCAGCTCATCATTCCTGGCGAGACGGCCTGCTTCGCGGTAAATACCGGCACGGGCACCACGCACGGCACACCGGCACGGGCACCACGCTGACAGTGTTCCACGCACACGACACCGTCACCACACACGCAGCACCGGCACGTGCGCCACACCAGCACGGGGCACCACACGGGTACACACACCACACGGTACACACCCCACACGGGTACACACCACACGGGTACACACACCACACGGTACACACACCACACGGGTACACACACCACACGGTACACACACCACACGGTACACACCCCACACGGGTACACACCACACGGGTACACACACCACACGGTACACACACCACACGGGTACACACACCACACGGTACGCACACCACACGGGTACACACACCACATGGGTACACACACCACACGGTACACACACCACACGGTACACACACCACACGGTACACACACCACACGGGGACGCACACCACACGGGTACACACACCACACGGTACACACACCACACGGTACACACACCACACGGTACACACACCACACGGTACACACACCACACGGTACACACACCACACGGGTACACACACCACACGGTACACACACCACACGGTTACGCACACCACACGGTACACACACCACACGGTACACACACCACACGGTACACACACCACACGGGTACACACACCACACGGTACACACACCACACGGGTACACACACCACACGGGTACACACACCACACGGGTACACACACCACACGGTACACACACCACACGGTACACACACCACACGGGTACACACACCACACGGGTACACACACCACACGGGTACACACACCACACGGTACACACACCACACGGGTACACACACCACACGGGTACACACACCACACGGTACACACACCACACGGGTACACACACCACACGGTACACACACCACACGGGTACGCACACCACACGGTACGCACACCACACGGGTACGCACACCACACGGGTACGCACACCACACGGGTACACACACCACACGGTACACACACCACACGGGTACGCACACCACACGGGTACGCACACCACACGGGTACACACACCACACGGGTACACACACCACACGGTACACACACCACACGGTACACACACCACACGGGTACGCACACCACACGGGTACGCACACCACACGGGTACACACACCACACGGTACACACACCACACGGTACACACACCACATGGGTACACACACCACACGGGACACGCACCACACGGGTACGCACACCACACGGGTACACACACCACACGGGTACGCACACCACACGGGTACACACACCACACGGGACACACACCACACGGTACACACACCACATGGGTACACACACCACACGGGACACACACCACACGGTACACACACCACACCAGCACGGGAGCCACACCAGCAGCGAGGCGTGCACATGCCACACCAGCTCGCACACCAGCTTAGGAACGGGCACCACGCTAGCACGCACGCCCACACCAGCACGCGGGCGCCACACCAACACCCCTACACTGGATCGCACAGCGCCGCACTTCAACGCGTCACACATCTCACATTGACAACTCCAGTGTCCTGCTGGAGTTGAGCCCAGGGGGACCCCCGTTGGCAGCTGTCTCTGCGGGGCACGTGGTGAACCCACGCCGTCGGCCTCCAAGTGGCCACCAGTCTGCCAATAGGCCGTTCGATGTTGCCGTGTGTTTTGTTTTCTCTCCCTATTAAAGGACTCGAACCCTTTTTTTATGTTCACATCACGGGATCTGTATTAGATATTGACCCGCGTGGTGGTTATGGTTAATGTGTGCTGCCATGGTGGTGAGATGTTAACTACCTCGTCTGGTATACAGGAGGTCGTGGGGTTGATCCCGGCCCTGATGCCTCCTGTATATTTGGAGTTTGCGTATGTCTCTCCCCGTGGTTGCGTAGATTTTTCTCCAGGTCCTCCGGTTTTTCCCTCCAGATTTAGAATCGACATCACGCGTTTAGAGTATTCGGCTGCTCTAAATTTCCACACGATGCTAAGCCACTTAGTTGAGCTATCATTTGTGGCCAGCTCGCTTCTGAAAGAGAGCTACATATAGCTCAGGGGCCTTACCTGGTAATTATTTTTTTTAAGTTGAACTGAGAAGATGGTGGACGCAAAAATGCCACGATTTTTCACGTCCAGACCGACCACTGGCTGCATCTGTGCGATGCGCGTCCTGATTAACGGTGGTTATAGAGGTGAAATACGCCGAGGAACTCGACACGTTCGTCAGTAGAACTTCCGTGGCCTTAAACGGGAAAACATACGTAACAAGTGACGTGTTCAGGGCTACGGCCCTTCCTCCTGGCCACGACCGTGTGGTTTCACTTTGGTCGCCCTTGTCGGTGCCCGCCCACAGTGCGCCCCTCCGCTGGTGGTCGCTGCCAACATGGACGAGAAGGCGCTGAAGAGGGACGGCGTCTGTGCCGCCAGCCTCCCCACCACCATGGGGGTGGTGGCGGGCCTCCTGGTGCAGAACGCGCTCAAGTACGCTCGCCACCACGCTCGCCACCGCGCTCGCCACCACGCTCGCCACCACGCCACCCTCGCTCGCCACCATGTTCACCACCACGCTCGCCACCACGCTCGCCACCACGCTCGCCACCACGCCACCCTCGCTCGCCACCATGTTCACCACCACGCTCGCCACCACGCTCGCCACCACGCCACCCTCGCTCGCCACCCCGCTCACCACCACGCTCGCCACCACGCTCGCCACCACGCCACCCTCGCTCACCACCACGCTCGCCACCACGCTCGCCACCACGCTCGCCACCACGCCACCCTCGCTCGCCACCACGCTCGCCACCACGCTCGCCACCACGCTCACCACCATTGTCTCCACCACACCATGTCCACCCTCATTCTCACCAGCACACCTCTAACCCTAAGCACGCCTCTCCACCACCACCACCACCACCACGCATACCGAGGTTAGGGGTTAGCGATAGTGTTTGTACTAGTTAGTGGGGTTGTTGTAGGGGTTAGTGGGGTTGTTGTAGGGGTTAGTGGGGATTGTTGTAGGTTTTAGTGGGGATTGTTGTAGGGGTTAGTGGGGGTTGTTGTTGGGGTTAGTGGGGGTTGTTCACAGGGGTTGTTGTTCAAGTGAGCGATTTGAATTATGGTAATGGTTTGAGTTCGTGTTAAACAGGACGGACGTGGTGCTGGCCTTCATAGGTTCTCCTCGCTAACAGCACTTGCCCCAACACATTATGAAAGGCTATGCTGATGGGCGGGGTTTTTTGTGGCAGGTACCTGCTGGGGTTCGGCGAGGTGAGCCGCTACCTGGGCTACAATGCGATGCAGGACTTCTTCCCCAGCATGGCCATGCAGCCCAACCCCACGTGCGACGAGCACTACTGCTGCCAGCGCCAGCGCGAGTTCCAGGTGACGCCTGCTACCTCGTGCCGCGCCCCCCCCCCCCCCCCCCCCAATTACCCCACCCGCCCTCCACCCTCTCCCCCTCCACACCCCCACCCAGCCCATCTCTCTCCATTTCTCCGTTTGTCCAGTTCAAGTTTCTAGTTGGGTTTAGGTGGAAGTCAAAAGAGTCTCATTTGTGGCCTGGGGCCAACGAGATGTTGGTTTCCAGAGTAATCAGAATCAGAGTTTTTATTTGTACCGGAGAAGGAATCCGATGAGTTATAAATATCTTCTTTTTCTCAGATGTCCATTAGGGGCACGGGGTCGGGACGTGACAATGACCAAGCCCATTGAGCAAGACGGTCTGTCTGCCTGTCTGCCTGTCTGCCTGGCTGCCTGTCTGCCTGTCTGCCTGTCTGCCTGGCTGCCAGTGGGTGGCGATCGCCATGCGACGCGCCGCTTGAGTAATGTCTTAGAATTTGGCTAAAATGTTGATGCCGGCTCAGCCACACGAATGGCCTGCTATTGCGAATGGTGTCATGGCACCCGTAACGTCTCCACTGCGAGTGACGCAGATGGCGCGCAGTGTTGATATCGCCAGGGTTGTTATTGCCACGGCTGTTATTGCCACGTCTGTTATTGCCACGGCTGTTATTGCCAGGGTTGTTATTGCCAGGGTTGTTATTGCCACGGCTGTTATTGCCAGGGTTATTGCCATGGCTGTTATTGCCAGGGTTGTTATTGCCACGGCTGTTATTGCCAGGGCTGTTATTGCCACAGCTGTTATTGCCAGGGTTGTTATTGCCACGGCTGTTATTGCCAGGGTTGTTATTGCCATGGCTGTTATTGCCAGGGTTGTTATTGCCACGTCTGTTATTGCCACGGCTGTTATTGCCAGGGTTGTTATTGCCAGGGTTGTTATTGCCACGGCTGTTATTGCCAGGGTTGTTATTGCCACGGCTGTTATTGCCAGGGTTGTTATTGCCACGGCTGTTATTGCCAGGGTTGTTATTGCCACGGCTGTTATTGCCAGGGTTGTTTTTGCCACGGCTGTTAGACCCGCGGTAACAATCGGGGCGGCTGCTGGATTCTCGAACCGTGAATATCTGCAGCGCGATAGCGCTAGGCCGCATCGTCCCTCACCACCCTCGCTCCTCCCCACCCCCCTCCCCCCACCCCTCCCCCCACCCCCTCCCCCCACCCCTCCCCCACCCCACCACCACCAGGCGAAGCCCCGTCAGGAGCCTCCTGCGGCCCCACCGGAGGAGGAGGCGGCCCCCCTGCACGAAGACAACGATTGGGGTGAGAGGGCGAGCGAGCTGCACACACATACAAGACAAAGAACCCCGTATGGCCTTGAACAGACCAAGAAACGTCGTGGGTTTTTGCTTAAATTGTTAATTGTAATTTATTATTTTATTTTATTTTTATTTTCTATCTCCGTGACTTTACCGAAAGAACCAAGAATATACTTGAACAGACCGTTTGGACAAGTGCCGTTCTCGGTAACACCGATGAAGGTCGGCACGCCACACAAGGGGGGGGGGGGGGGGGAGTGTGGAAAAGCGCCACGCCCGGCCACCTTTGTCTCCCCGCCCCAGTGCTGATGTTTACACACCGCAGTAGGTTCTGATTTAATGCCGAGTCGACCTAGGGGAGGCCCAGGACCAGTTCAAATATTCACCACTGTTATTGGTCGTGAGCGGGAATCGAACTCGGGTCGCCCGGTTCCATAGCGAGGTACGCTAACCACGCCACTGCCACTCCCCACAGACACACAGACATGCACAAAGATCCCCCATATAGCCCTAGCAGCCTGTTGGGGCAAGTGCTGTTAGCGAGCACCCATGAAGGCCGGCACGGCACACGAGGGGGTGGGTGGCCAGCACCACACCCGGCCGTCTTTGTCTCCCCAGTGGCGATGTTTACACACCGCACCAGGTACTCATTTGAGGACGAGTCGACCTAGGGAAGGCCCAGGACCAGTTCAGATAATCCCTACATATGTTGGCCGTGAGCGGGAATCAAACTTGGGTCGCCAGGTTTGTAGTGCAGTGCACTAACTGTTAGAAAAACAAAGACACACACGTATACACACACAGACTAATGTACACGCACACACGTACACAGACACGTACACACACACATACAACAACAACAACCGCCATTCGCCACTAAGTGGCGGTGACGTCACCACGACGCTTGTACCAGGCCATGTGCACCTTGAGGCCACGTGAAGTGTCGAACGCCCGCTGGCAGAAGGTCGTGGGGCAGACCCAGCAGGTGCCACAGGTCGACTGACTGAGACGACTGGCTGATGCACCACCTGTGCCCCCTACTGTGCCAACTTGCTGTGCTTTAGCCACCCGACGCTCCGCTCATTGTTGTGAGCGTCGCTCCTCCGCCCTCCGTTGTTGTTGGAGGGCGACTGCCTCCAACTGCCCAGTAGCGTCCTTCACGAGCCTCCTCCACAGAGGCCGATCTTGACACCGCTGGTACCAGTCATCGGCAAGTCCACTCAGCTCTACGTCCTCCTGTGCCACATCACTCCATCTCTTCTCTAGCCCGTGTCGCGCCCGTTTAGCCCCCTCGATCCGGCCGAACAAAAGGTGTTTAGGCATGCGGTGGCTGGGCATGCGGGCTACATGACCCAGCCAACGCAACCTTGCCTGCCGGAGGAGCTCACCGATGGGACTTTGTCCAGATCTTTCAATTGCTCAAGTTGTTCCTTGCTGTGGTTGTCCCACCTGATGACGGACACTTGTGTTGTGCCCGAAACGTCGTGATTTAATTTAGTTTATACCTACGTGACTTTACCGAAATAACCAAAGAGTATGGATCCCTGCAGTCACGAAAACTTCAAATCTAGATGTTAAATAATGTGGGAGCCAGAGGACATCCCTGTCGCACCCCAAGGTGAACAGGGAATGGCTCTGACTCCCGGCCACGTAGTTTTACCCGGGCCCGCTCACCAACATGAAGGTCCTGAATGATCGTGAGCAGAGGGTCAGGGACTCCGAAAGCACGAAGAACAACCCAGAGCCCAGGCCTACTGATGGTATCATAGGCCTTGACCAGGTCAATAAAGCAGAGATGTAGGTTTTGTTGGAATTGCCAACACCTCTGCTGTAGCAGACGGATAGAGAATATGGCATCTGTGCAGGACCGCCCTTTCCTGAAATCGCATTGGGGCACCGCAAGCCTCTCCTCAGCGTGCCTGGCAAGGCGATGTTGATCATTATCCTTGCCCAAGGGGAAAGATTCAGTCTCCTGGCTCCGCCAAATGGGGTTTGGCCAGGAGACGAGGAGGTAGGGGGTTGTTTTTGCCAGACACACGGACACACACACACGTACACACGCACGTACACACACACGTACACACACACACGCATGTACACACACACGTACACACACACGTACACACAGAAAGCTACAAATCCCCGTTCGATTTGCGCACAAGGCCTACATCAGTGGCGGTGTCCAAACATCAGCCCTGGAAACACAAAGGCAGCCAGGCATGGTCCAGGCCACCCCACCCCCTCGTGCCCCGTGCAGGCCTCTATTGGTGCTCGCTAGAAGCACTTTCCGCAGCAGTCTATGCAGGCTGTACAGGAGATCTTTGTCTGTGTACATATATATTATATATCTACGTGTGTCTGTGTGCGTCCTGCCTGCAGGGATAGAGTTGTTGGCTGAGACGTCAACGGAAGCGGGCGAGGAGGAGGAGGGGAGCCCGGGAGTTGTTCTTGTGCCAGGGGTGCGACTTGCCTACACCAAACCCGCACAGGTACACACACAGGTACGTACGCAGGTACACGCACGCAGGTACACACACAGGTACGTACACTGGTACACACACAGGTACGTACACTGGTACACACACAGGTACACACACAGGTACGTACGCAGGTACACGCACGCAGGTACACACACAGGTACGCGCACTGGTACGCGCACAGGTACGTACTCAGGTACACGCACGCAGGTACACACACAGGTACGTACACTGGTACACACACAGGTACGTACACTGGTACACACACAGGTACACACACAGGTACACGCACAGGTACGTACGCTGGCACGCACGCAGGTACACACACAGGTACGTACGCAGGCACGCACGCATGCAGGTACGCACACAGGTACAGGTACGTACATACGCAGGCACACACGCAGGCACGCACACAGGTACGCAGATAAGCACACAGATACGCACACACAGTTACGCACACAGGTACGCAGATAAACACAGATACGCACACAGGTACGCACACAGGTACGCAGATAAACACAGATACGCACACAGGAACACACACAGGAACACACACAGGTACGCACACAGGTACGCAGATAAACACAGATACGCACACAGGAACACACACAGGTACGTACGCAGGCACGCAGGTACGCACACAGGATACACACACACAGTTACACACACAGGTACAAAGACAAAGAGTCCCTGTATAGCCTTAACAGACTGTTGGGGCAAATTCTGTTAGCGAGTAGCACCTATCAAGGCCGGAACGGTACAAGAGGGAGTGGGTGGCAAGCACCACGCCCGACCGCCTTTCTCTCCCTAGTGGGGATGTTTACTACACACCACACCAGGTACTCTTTTGAGGCTAAGTCGACCTAGTGGAGGCCCAGGACCGGTTCAGATATTCTTCACTGGTGTTAGCTGTGAGTGGGAATCGAACTCGGGACGCCAGATTCGTAGTGCAGCGCCCTAACCGCTGCACCACCGCTCCCCACACCGGTACACACATAGGTATGCACACATCACGCAGTTTGACATGGCCCAGCGATAGCATGTTCAATTCTCTCTGATAACTTCACTTGAAGTGAAACGTGACATCATATATCCTCATCTATTTACATATGTATACACCGGTCACCCCATATATCTGTTTAATGTTTCTGTAACCTTAATTTAGTAATTGTGTAGTGAGCGACTTCCGAGATACGATGTGTAGAGGGCTCCTTATTTCTCACACTTACAGGCACAATCACTGGGCGACATATACATACACACGGGATACGCATAGCTGACCCGTCCACACAGCCCCATCGTCGATGTCTAACTCTATAGCTGGCCGACTAATATAGCGACAACGACGACGACGATGGGAGCCGTGCAGAGGATTGGCCACGCGGCCGGACGATGAAGAGAGATGACGGCGAAGACAGCGACGGCAGCCCCGAACCGTCGCTCGCGTCCCCCCGATATCCTCCTCAGCGTGGCCAGGCCCCGCCTCTGTCCACACCCCCTTCTAGAACCTTCCAGCAGGTTCCCGGAGCTTCCAAACTGACCCCGCCTTTTACCTTTAACCCAGACACGCCCCCCTCCTAGTTGGCTATCATATAACGCACCCATACCTGTGATTATCCCTCATGGTCAACAGATGGCACCCTTTCATTACAATTGCACTACGACCAGAGTAGAAATAATTCACCCCTCCGGAGGGACCATTTTTTGGTGAAGTATGGTCACATGTATGTATTCCTGTGGTGTAGAAAGCCCCTCATCCAGCAGTGGATTGATGACACGGGGGGTGACCCGCCTTCACTTCTAAAGTCGAACTGCGTGGTGCCTCTCCCCCGCGGTCTCCTCTGGGTCTCTCCTGCCCCCCCCCCCCTTCTCCCACGGGGTCTCCCACCACTCCTCGTCTACCTTGGGGTCTCACCCCTCACCCCACCCCCCTGTCCCCCGGGTCTCCCCACCAACCCCACCCCCTTCTCCCCGAGCAGTTGGCTGAAGACGTGGGGCCCTCCGTGGAGGAGACGGAGCAGAGTCTGGAGGACCTCATGGCGCAACTCAAGGGGATGTAGGCGAGGCCACTGCCTGGCACAGGACCTGCGCACCCGGAGCCCAGTCATGGACCTGACTCGCAGAACTTTGCTTCCTGGGACCTAGGACCATAGAAACCCAGGGATGCCGTGTTCCTGGAACCCTGGGACCTGGAATAACCCGACCTTGGCGATGAACCCAGACCACAGAACCTTCACTCCGGGCAGGGTCTCGTGACCTATGACACTCACTCAGCTTGGAAGATGCACGTGTGTGTGTACGTTGAACTTCTTGCGCACCGTACGTAGCCAACCGCGCTCATCGGAGGTGCGGGGGAAGAACAACAAACTAAACACTAAAAGCAGTCCTAAAGAGCTTGAGACCCATCACCTGGTCACCTGGAATCACTGGTGCTTGCCTAATCAACCTGGACAATGAGACCTTGCAAGCAGGGGCCTGGTATCATGGAAACTTCACAGGGAACTTAGGACCTTAGGATCTGAGCAAGGAACCTAGGCCTCAGGACCAGAACTGGGGTCATTTATAATTCCAATTAGAGCAGCATTGTTGGTTAAAAGGACAATTACATTGTAATATGTTGCGGATTACACATTTATGTACGTATGTTGACCTTTCACACCGTGCTTAGTCAACAAACTTAACATAAAAATCAGTTTAAAAAAAAATGTGTTCACAATTTAGACCTAAAAGTGCATAACTCCAGTGGCTTCCTAATATCGCAAGGAAGAGCATTCCAGACGGCCGCGGAAGTGCATCTGACAGCGCGTGATGCGGTTGCTGTCTTTGTTCGATGGTCAGCCAAAAGCCGTTGCTGTGAATTGTAATCGATTCCAGGTCTGCTCAGCACGAGGGAACCGAGGGCCTTTGGATCCAGTCCCTGGCACCTCGTTCCTGGAACCTCGTTCCTGGAGCCTCGTTCCTGGAACCTTTTACCTGGAACCTCGTTCCTGGAGCCTCATACCCAGTACCCAGAACCTCGTACCTGGAACCTCGTTCCTGGAACCTCGTTCCTGGAACCTCGTTCCTAGACTCCAGGGATCGTACACAGTAAGTCCTCTATTTTGGTTGTTTCTCTATAATGTCACCAACAAATTTACGGAACGTGATTCGATTTAAAAGGTGTCGATTTCACTCCGAACGTGATGCACAATCGCAAGATAGCGCGGGAGGTTATGCATCGTACGTGACGACAGCGACGCCATGGCACCAACAAAATAGTGCTCAATCCTCGTGTTTACAACGTCGCCATTATCTGCACCGCGCTACCCTCTAAACGCAATCTCAGCCACCATCTCGGGTGATAATTCTATCTTAATTTATGTATTTAAACGTGTTATGTAATTTTCTGGTAACCCGTGCAATTTCATTCGACCCAAAAAGTGACCCCTCCCAAGGAACCCATCCCAAATTCATATCACGAAGTCAATGATGGTAGAATTCGGTTTTTAGATTTCCGTGGCGCCTGGCATCGCGTTTGTCCAGCGACGCGTTATCCAACATCGATGGAGGACTCGCTGCTCCTGGGGAGGAGACTTCGACTCGGACCCAAGGAGTCGAGAACTTTGGAACCTCGGATCTGAACCATGGGACCTCGACAAGAAACGCAGACCAATTGGACAGAGTCCCTCCTAAGTCCAGGGACCCGGTCCCCTAGTCCCAGGGACCCTAGAAATTCCATGAAGCCGCTGGACGCGGTCCTTCCTGCTCCCGTGGCACACGCACTCAACCGTGCTGATGGAATCGTCATCGTCCGTGATCCATCCACTGCTGGATGGCCTTCTTAAGCCGTCACCATCTTTCACGGTCCTGGAGTGTTGCTGCCCCACCTACTTTAAACAACGGGTTCACCCTCGGGTAGCTCATGTCCATCCCCACGCTCGTGTAGTAGTTTAAGTGTAAGTCTCGCTACGGATGTTCTAATCGCTGCCTGCACCTGCTTTGTCCACATCTGGGCAAGGAGTTGTGCAACCGGGGCAATGTCTACCGCGTGTGTGTGTGTCTGTGTGTGTGTGTGTGTGTCAGTGTGTGTGTCAGTGTGTGTGTCAGTGTGTGTGTGGGGAGCGGTAGTGTAGTAGCGGTTAGCGCTACGCTGCGCTACGAACCCCGCAACCCGGGTTCAATTCCCACTCACGGCCAACACCTGTGACGATTATCTGAACCGTTCCTGGGCTTCCCCTAGGTTGACTCAACCTCAAACGAGTACCTGGTGCGGTGTATAAACATTGCCACTGGGGAAGACAAAGGCGGTAGTAGTAGCGACTACATATGTAGCTACTACAAGTGCTACTACGATAATCCGGCACTGGGTCGCATGGTGGGCGCGTGAAGTCGGCTGCAAACCTCGGAGCAGATCAATGGTCGCAAAGTGGAGTCTGTCCTGCAGGCAACTGGTTCAGATAAATTGCTCGCAAAACTGGTTGCAGCGACGTCCGCACACACGTACAAGCGGCACAGTTGCGTGCAACTCGAGTTGCATTTAACTGATCGCTCGGACGTGGGCACGACTCGTTCGTGGTTATTGCACGTCACCAGTTCTATAAATTGCTATCGTAGAACAAATTACGTCTCTCCAACACCCGCCACCGATGGACGGATGATGATATGATCCGGCCAACGGCAAAAACATCCACCCCCCCCTCGCCCCCCTCCTGCGATTAAAACAATGGTTTCATCCGGCTCGAGTCGTCTTCAAGCTGACATCGCCCTGTAGCCGATATTCGCCGCTGATGCCAATCGTCGTGAATAAACGCCGGCAATGTAATTCATTGTTGTTGTTGATCAAAATGTAGCTTGTGTGTCTCGTTTGGAGGTGCTGTGTGTGTGTGTGGAGCACAGGTGAACACGCTGCGCTGCGAAGCAGACGTGTCACGAGTTAGATTCCCGCTCGCGGGGCCAACATCGGTGACGAATATATGGACCTCCCTTAGGTTGACTCGGCCTTAAAGCATTACATTGTGGGGAATCAGAGGTGGCCGGGCGTGGTGCGGCCCGCACCACCACCTCGCCGTTCTTCATCGGTGCTTGCTCGCAACAGCACTTGCCCCAACAGCCTGCGGAGGCTACACGTGGGGGAAACCTTTGCCCTCGCTTGTAATTCCAGGATTGGTTGTGGTTGTTTGCAGGCGGCTCCCTCTGGATGTCTCGGTCGCTCTGTCTCCACAAGCCTCGTCGTGTTCCGAGATCTGTCACTCGAGAAAGCGATGGCGTTAGTTCGGGGGGGGGGGAGGCGGTGGGGCGTGTGATTGGGCGAGCTGGGAGATGCCGAGATAAGAGACGCAGACTCCCAGACAGCCTGGCAGGAGGACAGACGGCGCAAGGGGGTGCCAGGAGTGCCCCTGGCGAGGGCGAGCACCTGTCGAGTCGGGCTCGAGGTGTCATTCGTTGTTGATGTCTGTGCACGCGCGTGGAGACATCCGGGACTGCGGAGACAAAGGCGGTGCCAGCCTTCGTAGGTGCTGCTCGCTAACAGCACTTGCCCCGACAGTCTGTTTACAGGCTCCGCGTGGGGGATCTTTGCCTTGTGTGTGTGTGGGGTAGCGGCTAAAACGCAGCAAGATGGCACGTTAGGGAGTGCAGGTGAGCGCATCGGGCAGTCATCTCGGTCAGCCAAACCCATGGCACCTGGGTCTGTCCTGTGGCCTCCTGTCGGCGAGCCTTCGACGCTTCACGTGGCCTCAAAATGCACCCAGCCTGGCACAGGCGCTGTGCTCACATCAACGCTGCGTAGTGGCGAACGGGGGCTGTTGTGTGAGTGCGTGGGGAGCGGTGGTGCAGTGGTTGACAAGAAATCTGTACCGGTCCTGGGCTTCCCCAAGGTAGACTCGGCCTTAAACGACTGCCTGTTGTGGTGTCATCTTCCACGGGACGTTTTCCCACAAGTGTTGAAAGTGTCAAATGTCAATGAAAACTCGTCTCGTGAGTACACAAAGACAAAGATCCCTCGTATAGCCTACACGGATTGTTGGGGCAAGGGCTATTAGCGAGCACCGTTGTGGGGGTGGGTGGCCCACACCCCGCCTGGCCGCTTTTGTCTCCCCAGTGCTGATTGTTTATACGCAGCACCGGTTACTCATTTGCAACTGAGTCGACCTAGGGGAGGCCTTGGACCGGTTCAAATATCCGTCGAGGACATTGGCCGTTCGTGCGAATGGAACACAAGTCGATCGACGGGTTCGTAGCGCAATGCTCGCTAACCACTGCGCCACCGCTCCTCACTCGTGAATACAAAGACAAATATCCCCCGTATAGCCTCAACAGACATTTGGAACAAGTGCTGTTAGGGAGTAGCAGCACCTATGAAGGCCGGCACGGCACACGAGGTGGTGGGTGGCAAGTGCCAATAAGCCCGGCCGACCGCCTTTGTCTCCCTGGCGGCGATGTCAACACACCGCGCCAGGTACTCGTGTGAGGGGGGCCGAGTCGGTCGAGTGTAACGCGCACCAGCAGAGGCACGAGACTCGGGGCTTGCGCAGCCAGCCAGCCAGGCAGCCAGCCAGACAGCCAGCCAGGCAGCCAGCCAGGCAGCCAGCCAGACAGCCAGCCAGGCAGCCAGCCAGACAGCCAGCCAGGCAGCCAGCCAGGCAGCCAGCCAGGCAGCCAGCCAGCCAGACAGCCAGCCAGCCAGCCAGACAGCCAGCCAGACAGCCAGCCAGGCAGCCAGCCAGGCAGCCAGGCAGCCAGCCAGCCAGCCAGCCAGGCAGCCAGCCAGCCAGCCAGGCAGCCAGCCAGACAGCCAGCCAGGCAGCCAGCCAGGCAGCCAGCCAGACAGCCAGCCAGGCAGCCAGCCAGGCAGCCAGCCAGCCAGACAGCCAGCCAGGCAGCCAGGCAGGCAGGCCGGCCAGACAGCCAGCCAGGCAGCCAGCCAGACAGCCAGCCAGCCAGGCAGCCAGCCAGACAGCCAGCCAGGCAGCCAGCCAGGCAGCCAGCCAGACAGCCAGCCAGGCAGCCAGCCAGACAGCCAGCCAGGCAGCCAGCCAGGCAGCCAGCCAGCCAGACAGCCAGCCAGGCAGCCAGGCAGGCAGGCCGGCAGGCAGCCAGCCAGGCAGGCACCGCGCCGAGAGGCTTTAAGCGAAGTCAACTAATTAGTATTGTGCCAGGTAAGGCCCCATTGAGCTGCGTAGGTCTTTTTTCCAGAAGCGACCGGGCCACGAGTGACAGCTCAACGACGTGGTGGCTTATCGCGTGGAAGTGTACAGCAGCCACATTTTACTCGATAAACGCGCGATGTTGATTCCAAATGTGGAGGGGAAACCCGGAGAAAAGGCCACGCAACCACGGGGAGAGAGAGGAGAGAGACACGCAAACTCCAAATATACAACAGGCATGAGGGTCCCGATGGAATCCACGACCTGCTGTATGCCAGGCGAGAAAGTTAACGTTTCGCCACCGCGGCGCTCCGCAAAGGAGGAGCACGTGGATTGGAGAACACACGGAAGGTTAGAATCGCCATCATCATCATCACACTGACTGCTTAAGAATCAAGTAAAGTGGCCTCGGATAGGATGCGCTGCCGGCGGTCGAGACTCGGGGCGGAGTGGCGGCCAAAGGAGGCGACGGGAGACGGAGCGCTTCGTGCGCCGGCGAGTGGACGCATCGTCGCGAGGGCAGGATCGTGAGGGGTGCGGGGGACGCCTTCATCCAGCAGTGCGCAGAGCGTGGCTCTCTGCACACAAAGTGCTTGCCACGAATAAACCACAACATTGTGGCGATCTCGCCAAGGAGCGTAAACCATCACGTGAACTCCGGTGCTCATCCTCGCAGCAGCGGCTTTTGGCTGCTGGCCATCACAAATAGATGGACGGTCGCTCCATCGCGCGGCGCTTTCAGACGCGCTTCTGCGGCCGTCTGGAACGCTCTTCCTCCCGATATCAGGAAGCCGCTGGGGCTATGCACTCTTCAATCGCCTCGATTGCAAACTCATTTCTCTCGAGCTGCTTTGTGTGTTGAGTTTGTTGTCCTACGTACGGTGCGAAAGAAGTTCAGCATACACATACTTACGCGCATGATGATGATGTGAGCGTTGCCCCATGGTGGATGGCATCACCGTGCATTGCCAGCGACTGTTCTCGTGCGCCACTGTGGACGTTCACACCCTGCCCCCGCGCGCGTGCGTGCGGCTCACGCGGCGTCACTAACGCAGGCAGACGCCGCCGCCTTGGAGGAGACCCAGCGACATCGGAGACATTGCGTACCCGCCTGCGATGGATGTGGGGGATGGCGTTGTTTGTGGTTGTGGACATGCATACGTCGTTGTACTCGAGTGGCGGTGCTTGAGGCCGTTAATCCTCGCTTCAAATCCAGCTCCGAGGGGCGTCACGGGAAATATCGAGTGAGAAGCTCATCCGTGGCGCGTGTGATGGGCGGTTGCGATGGGCGCGGGAGATGTCCGTGCGAGTGAGTGATGGCTGTACGTGTGGGTGGGTGCGTGAGTGATGTTTGCGTCGTCTGATGGGTGTATTGACAGTGATGTCTCGATGGCTGCAGTGGGGGTGGTAGGCGTAGTAGGTGTGATGAGTGCCTGTGATATGTAGGCGTGTGTGCGCGTGTGTGCGATGGTGGTCACCGCGCCGCGCGCTGTCAGATGCGCTTCTGCGGCCGTCTGGAACGCTCTTCCTCGCGATGTTAGGAAGTCACCGGGCGCTATGATGAACTTTTAAATCGCTTAGATTGTCAAACTACTTTATTTAGAACTGCTTGCTGTGTTTGGTTTGAGGTCCTCCCCCCGCACCTCCTATTAGCTCGGTTGGCGAAGTACGGTGCGAAAGAAGGTCAACATAGAGTACATGCGATGTGCATGGTGTGAGTGTGTGATGAGTAGTGTGGGTGTGTGGATGTGTGGGTGTGATGTGTGGGTGTGTGGGTGTGATGTGTGGTGTGTAGTGTAGGTGTGATGTGTGGTGTGTGATGTGTGGTGTGATGAGTGGCGTGTGTAGTGTGATGTGTGATGTGTGATGTGTGTGGTGTGTGGTGTGTGGGTGTGATGGGTAGTGTAGGTGTGATGGGTAGTGTAAGTGATGTGTGGTGTGTGGGTGTGTGGGTGTGTGGGTGTGATGTGTGGGTGTGTGGGTGTGATGGGTAGTGTAGGTGTGATGGGTAGTGTAAGTGATGTGTGATGTGTGGTGTGTGATGTGTGTGGGTGTGATGTGTGATGTGTGGGTGTGATGTGTAGTGTAGATGTGATGGGTAGTGTGGGTGTAATGTGTAGTGTAGGTGTGATGTGTAGTGTAGGTGTGATGTGTAGTGTGATGTGTGATGTGTGGGTGTGATGTGTGGGTGTAATGTGTGATGTGTGTGGGTGTGATGTGTGGTGTGTGGGTGTGATGTGTGGGTGTGTGGGTGTGATGTGTGGGTGTGTGATGTGAGTGTGACGTGTGGGTGTGATGTGTGGTGTGTGGGTGTGATGTGTAGTGTAGGTGTGATGGGTAGTGTAAGTGATGTGTGGTGTGTGGGTGTGTGGGTGTGATGTGATGTGAGTGTGATGTGTGTGGGTGTGATGTGTGGGTGTGATGTGTGGGTGTGATGTATGAGTGGGGGTGATGTGTGATGTTTGGGTGTGATGTGTGGGTGTGATGTTTTTGGTGTGTGGGTGTGATGTGTGGGTCTGTGTGTGTGATGTGTGTGGGTGTGATGTGTGGGTGTGTGGGTGTGATGTGTGGTGTGTGGGTGTGATGTGTGATGTGTGTGTGATGTGTGGGTGTGATGTGTGTGGGTGTGATGTGTGTGTGATGTGTGGGTGTGATGTGTGGGGTGTGATGTGTGGGTATGTGGGTGTGATGTGTGGGTGT